GCATCGCGACGAAACGGTAGTCATCTTGGATGGCGAACGTTGGGATAAATGAAAAGCAGAGTAGAAAATAAAAAGCCGTTGGCATAATGAGCGATTCGGTGGAGCGAGCGCGTGTACAGACCTTTAGGCGAAAGGGAAGCGTGCAAAGGGAAGAAAGCGGAGGTGGTTGAACATACTATCATCCGGTATTCGTTGGCTGCTCTTTTGTATTCAGTAGTCGGTATTCAGTGGCGAGCCGATGGCTGCCGTGTTTGCCCAGGATTTTGACGTTGATGACGAGGGATGATAGATGCATCCTGCATCCATTACGAAAAGTTCGACTCGAGAAATCGAGAGGCAGAGAGGCTCTTTGCTCCGCCTTTCGGGATTATAGAATAGAACTGGGTAAAAGTACCCTTTTCGTACGCGAGTCCAGCTTGCTTGTTCGAAGAAAAGTTGGAGAACGACGGAAAGAATTGCGCCTTTACCTTCGTTAAATAAACAATGAAAAGAGGACAAGGTGACAAATTGTCATTTATTTATTTATTATCTAGATATGAGTTTGCTAACGAAATTCTGAGAAAGTTGATAATTCCAGTCGTCGTATTTGAAAAGGACCTTCCACGCATCGAGGCCAGATAAAGAGGGCACGATGAAAAAAGAAGGTGCAATTTTCAAAGTGAAATCAGACGTAAAGACGTAAAAGTTGGAAAAAGTGTCGGTCGATGTTTAACCAGGTGTCCCTCAAACGAGATATTATGCGCGTCGCCATTTATTTATGCCAATACTAAATTGCGGCGCATATATAGAAGGTCGCGTACATTTTTATCGGATCAGTTTAGAAGTTGGTTCGGTCCGTGCATCATTGTACCACTCTGCGTGCACTTAACTCCACTTTAGAGTAAGTCCATATCGGTGTTTTTTATCTCGTCGTAATGATACCTGTGTACGTATTATATAAACATCGATATATTTTATTTCAGTGTTTCAATCGTGTAAAATGAATTAAACTGGTCGGTTGTACGCAGAAACTCGTAAATTCCCGGCGAAACTGATTAAAAACCATTAATATCTCGGACGGGGTGGAATATAGCGACGTGAAATATTTTTATATTTAGCTAATGTATCGACCGTGAATCGCGTCCATTTGTATAGATCAGGGTTTAAAAACGTGCACCGGCTCTCGAAAGAACAAATCTCCGTGTTTCTCGAACATCTTGCAGAGGTCGAACATCGGCCACGTTCCGCGTAATTGACGCAATTCATATTCATAAGCCGGAATGAGAAGTAGCGAAGAGTACCGGCAGAATGGTCGGCCGATGAATCGGAATATCGGAAGCAGCGAAATGGCGTCATCTCGCAGGTTGAATTCTGGGCGAGAAAGACAGTGCGTTATTACGTGTCTACAGTATCTAGTCACTGGTAAATATGAATGGCTTTAATATTCCGTAAGCACGAAGCCGCCGCTTTTTAAAGTTCATGCATACCCAGGACGTGACCAGAAAATATTACAAAGCCCTGCGAAAACCCGCCGGGAGCTAGTGGAACTAGATTCCTCTGATTCTTCCGCCTTCCTCGTCGTCGCCCTTCCAATTATTTGTCGGCCACATAAAAATGTCACAGGTGCAATTGAAATTGGCTGTGAGATCCGTCGAATCTGAGCCAATTACGAGATTACCGTCCGAGATGACCAGGACACGCGGCAACAAGGAGATTTTTCAGCGTTCGGGGTAAATTGCGGAGGATAACGATCTCAAAATGAAATTCTCCATCGGACCACGGGTTACCCGGATAACGAGTTCTCCGGTGTGCCGAACTTTACTTAATAAAAGAACTGTTCTTACTAGCGCGCCGAGAGAAGCGCCGAGAGAAGCGCCGAGAGAAGCGCCGAGAGAATAGAGCATAGTATCCACCTGCTGGCATTTTTTTTATATTAAACTCGAGCACACGATTACACGCCGCCCTTTCGGCGAGCTTCATAATCCGAGTCTTCCGTCTGTATTAGGTTAGCTGGCTAACCTAAACTTAGCCTAATCCGTTCGCATGCTGCTCGACCGTTTAGCCAACGCAATATCGTTTTCTCGTTATTCAACCGTTCGATCGTTGCACGACACTCTTTAAATAAAAATAACGCGAAATAGTACATACCATAAGCGAAATTAACGTATTTGTACACGTCCGCTTCGTTTCGAACCTGTGTTCAACCATCCTCGTAGGCGATATTAAACCTGAATCCGATTAATTCGCCGCTCAACCGTCGCGGCACGGGCAAAAATAAACAAAACGACGCGATTAATAACGTTTTCCGCACACATGTTTCCCCCCGCGTTCAAATAAACCTCCTTGTATCGTACTCGACGATTTTTTCAGACGATCGGTTAAATTTGAAACGAACGGACGGTTTCGAAAGCGTAAGAGGGCAATGAGTCGCGTGTCGTTTTAATTAGAAAGAGCATCGCGGCCGGTAACGCGACGTGGAACACGAATCGCTGCCCCCTATTTATACATTTAACAGGCCCGGCGGCGGCCTGCGCCTTAATTCAAACTAATTTACATTTCACATGTTCGCAGCAGCGAAGCTGGCTTAGCGCCTCCATTTATCTTGGTTGAATTTCATTTCAGCCTGGCCGAGTAAAGTGCCACTTATTCTTACGAATGCCATCGACCCCGAGAAGTAGTACGTTCCGGGACTGCTCGAGAATACTTGCCATTCACTTCTTCTCCTGTATCATGTATATTTACGTTTCTTCCATTCAATCTTTCGCCCGTAGAAAAGAATCAACTTTTCCAGCAACCGGTGGAAATAACTGGGACAAGTACGGATTACTCCCGACAAACGGACCTTCTAATAAAACATCGATTCGTCTTCGAAGGAAGAGAAAGAGACGTCGTTGTTGGAAAATTCGCGATTACAAATTTTCATTAAAAACTTTCCGCCTCGATTTACATACATATGTAACTACTACAAGTACACCGTTGCGCCTCTCGTATGCGGCGTGCCATCCACGCCTCGATCGTACCCCGTCGTTTAATCTCAAGCGTGTCTGTCCGATGTATCGATCGCTGCTTAGTCACTTCGTAACGATCGTCGCCTGATTTACAACTTTCCTTCGATGCGTAGCACATGTTTCATCCAAGTCGAAACATCTGTTTTTTGCTCGCTGCGTACGAAGAACAAGTTGGCATATTTCCCGCGGTGCATGCACTTTTCGGCAACACGATTCATCAGCTCTCCTAGTTACACGTACAAATAACTCGGTGTATTATTCCTCGCCGACTAGCGAAGAACCAATTTCCACGCTTCTTCTCCTATCAGTTTCCATCTGGTACAATACTTCAGAATACTTCAACGCCTGTGTGTACCGATTCGTGTAACAAAGATATTGGGAAAAAGGGAAAAATGAGAAGCGAAAGATGTAATTATTTGATTTGGAGGGATAACGGTTTTTCTCACTCTTTGATTTATTAAAGTGGAGGAATCTTGCAGGTTCGTATCGTATCCACTTATCGAGCTGTCCGTGTCCCCCAACGATCTGTTCAACGTGCGCGTAAAAGCTTTCTCTCGGTTCCGCTGCTCCAGGGCCAAGTAATTCCCAAAGGATTTCGCCGTCTGTTCGCGCCGCTGCTTCCACCAGGGAACGAATCGCCCTGACAAACTATCCTCTTCGATCTGTCTATGATCCATCGCTCTCGATCGCAGATCGTTAAGCTCGTCAAACGGTCCGTAACGTTTATCTTCGACCATATGTAGCAGTCGTCAACAATCTGATTCGAGTCCTTTTACGAATTGTGTAAAGCACTCGCGATACGCTTGCAATATTTAAAAGGCAAACACCACACGTAGAAACCTTGCGATCTCAAAGACAACGTTTTCCCGCGGCAAAGAGTACAGAGAGAGGGAAACGTTACTCGGGGATAATTTGCAATGGAAGAGGAAAGGTTAAACCGATAATACCGGTATATTCGAAATGCAGAAGCTCGTTATCTCGCATATGCACTTTAACCAAAAAGGCAATCTTGAATATTTGAATAGATAAAAGAAAAGTTTAACGAAAATGAATCGCGGGAGATTATTAAAATTGATCGAATCACAGACGCGAGAAACGGTCCTGTCGCCTCTCTCGAATTCGCGAGAAACAATTGATTTCGAAATGAAACATATGTGTATATGCGTGTAGGAAGGCATCGGGACGAAAAAATATATTCTGTCCGCCGCATTGTTATTTTTCCTTTTTCCGCGCACAAAAGGACTCGCGTGGGGCATTGTTCGGCGCGAGAGTAAGATTTAACGAAAATCGTTAGAATCGCCGCCGAAACAAAACTCCCACGCGTTCCCGCCTTTTTCTCCAAAGTTTATCGCGCGCTGCTGATCTTCACGAAAACAGAAACAATTAACTTCGTCAAAATCGGCTGAATGCCGGCACGCGAGCCCGGGGAATTTATAGAGACCGCGCCTTTTGTCGCCGAGCCAACCGATCATTTCCGTTTATAGTTTTGCCATTAAATCGCCCAACATGCGCGTAGAAATTTTCCAGACTGTTTCGGAACAATATTTTTATTCTATTGTAATATTCGAAATGAAAAAGTTGGCGCGAGAAGCGAAATGTCGTTGAATTGAAACTCACATTTGGCAACCGTATGTGCGATCAATTCGTTCCTCTCCTTTAACCGATACATTGCTAAGCGCCAATTACGAAATCCTATTATCGACTGTCGCGAACAATAAGAGAAGCGGTTAACGTAACGGAAATCTCCGTGTCCAGCTTGGCAAGGTGAATTTAAAAAGGAGAAGAGACGTATTTCGCGGTTTATCAGGCCATCCAAGTATCTCCTTGGCCGGGGAAAATGTATTTATGAAATTCACGAGGAGTTGGACAAGTGCAAGAGGTTTTCAAGGCAAATGAGCATTTGCACTTATTATTAAGTAGCTCAATCAACAATAGACGTTATGTAATTTTTTATCAGCAGATGGATAATTGACCGCTGCGCATTCTGGTATTTACTTAAATGTAATGGTTCGTTGCGCGGAGTACACAGTAGATATCGAGGAGAATTTGCGCCGCGGTAATTGACAAAACTTTCTTGTCCTTTATAGACACACAGATCTGCTCTGTCCGTCGCTGCACTTTTCGCGCATAATCCATAAGTATTGAGGTAATTATACATGCAAAAGCTACACTTACTTTACTTTCTTCGAGAAATTAGACGAGGACGAGGAAAACTGTTGGATAGTTTTTACGATCACGTGGCAAAAGGAGGAATTGTTCGTGGTTTTCCAGCACCGTACCGTACCAGCACCATAAAAGAATAATTTCAAATACGTAACTCTGATTTTTCAACCCACCTTTTCAGCTTTATGGCGCAGTGCTGTTATTACATCAACAGCAAGAGCAGTCGGTGACGATAGTATCCGTGTAAAAATACAAAATGTTGCAATAATGCGAGGAGCGACGCAAGTCTCTGGTAGGGAATAGGTGGATGTCGCGATGCCACGTTCTCAGCAATGTAGTTTTACTGCTCCGCTGGGTCTCGTCTGCCTGTTCAAATTCGCAACGTTACGTAACGTGCGCCAGATTCCAGTCAGGCATAGAACAAGAAGCAGGACCGAAAGAACGTCTCTCTGATTCCGAAACCGAATGAAAATATTCCACCCTCTTTTATTCCTTCTTTATCGTCCTTTTAACTCGGTCACACCTTCAACGTTCAAAGACGTATAGTGTCGCGACGAAACAAAAGTGGCACTCTTGCTTCTCCGATAAAATTAACAAAGGAAATTACTTATTTATCTAACAATTGGAATTCTGTTTCAGCAGTCGACAAAGAAAATGTGGAACAGGTGGCTGGCAGTTTTCGTGCTCGCAGTCTTCTTCGTTTTTAAAGGTAAAGTCGAGCGCTGTTTTATTTACAAGGATTATTCGAATACAGGTATCGTTAACGACAGGTTGGGCGAACGAATGCGTGCCCCGTAGTTTCGGTGCCGATCAAATCGTGTGCGTTTGCAATGCAACGTACTGCGACAGCACGCCGGACAACGTTCCGAAAGTTCCGGAAAATGGCACCGTTTACTGGTACGTCTCGAGCAAAGGAGGACTCAGGATGAACTTGGCGAAGCTGCAGGCAGCAGATACCTGTCAAAACACCAGCTCCGGCACAGTCGTCGACATAGACACCTCGAAGAGGTATCAAAGGATCTTCGGTTTCGGCGGTGCCTTCACCGACTCTGCGGGCATGAATATTGCAAACCTCTCGGAGGCTACTCAGGATCAACTGATAAGGTAATCGAACCATCCAACTAAATTCCAACATTCTAGCGTTTCGCCGTTTCTAGGGCCTACTACCATCCAGTGCAGGGTAGCAGATATTTGTTAGGCCGCGTACCGATCGGCGGAACCGACTTCTCCACGAGACCTTACACCTACGACGACTCTCCCAACGACGTTTTGCTTCGAAATTTCTCGCTTGCCCCGGAAGATTACAACTACAAAATTCCGTACATAAGGAAAGCTCTCGAGTTAAATCCCGAGGTAAAGTTGTTCAGCGCCGCATGGTCTCCTCCGCCGTGGATGAAGACCAACGACAAAATCAACGGATTTGGTAAGTTTCGTAGCCCGACGTTACGGCGAGGAGGAAATAAACGTGTAACAGAATTTGTAACTATCGACAGGATTCCTGCAGGAAAAATATTATCAAACTTACGTCAACTACCTCTTGAAATTTCTCGACGCGTACAAAAGCTTCAATATCAGCATATGGGCCATTTCGACGGGTAACGAGCCGCTGAACGCCTTCATACCACTGGACCCCCTTAACACGATGGGATGGACACCCAAAACCCTGGGTAATTGGGTCGCTAATAATTTGGGTCCAAGTCTGGCCAACTCCGTACATAATGGTACGTTGATCCTTGCTCTGGACGATCAAAGGATCGAATTACCCTGGTCCATACAACAACTCTTCCAAAACAAAATCGCGGAGATGTACACGGCTGGTATAGCTGTACATTGGTACACCGATGACTTCATTCCGTCAACGGTGTTGGATCTAACGCACAACTCCTTCCCCAACAAATTTATCATGTTGACAGAAGCCTGTACAGGTGTGTATTTTACATAGACTATCTCCATTATCCAAAGATATTGTAAACTTTCGTTCGATGCAGGTACCGGAATCGAGTTTCCAAAGGTTGACTTGGGATCGTGGAGTCGAGGACAAAGATATATCTTGAGCATAATAGACGTAACGCCAATCATACATTTCTGTTTGTCGTAATCGCGAAACGTGACAATCTTTTCTTCCACGAAAAATTCTCTTCTTCTAGTACCTTAATCATTGGGCAATTGGATGGGTGGACTGGAACTTGGCGTTGAACACACAAGGAGGACCCAACTGGATTAACAATAACGTGGACGCGCCCATTATCGTCGTTCCAGAGACAGACGAATTCTACAAGCAGCCTATGTACTACGCTCTTAAACACTTGAGTAGATTCGTGGAAAGAAACTCCGTTAGGGTCTCTGTTACCAGTACGAGCACAGTTCCAGCTACGGCCTTCGTAACGCCGTCGCAGGAAGTCGTCGTTGTGTTGTACAACAAGTAATACAGACTTATTCTCGACTCTTCCGAATTAACCGTCAAGTTTAAAGGTTAAAGGTTCGGCTAACAGATATCGTTCGTTTTACTTTGCAGCCTCGACCAACCGACGAGTGTTACCTTAAGGGATTCGAATAAGGAGGACATTTGCTTGGAATTGCCTGCGTATTCTATAAACACCGTGATCTACGCGCTATAAAACTTGGAATTATTAACGCGAGTCATGGTAACAAATTGCGTTTCTATCTATCTTTAATACCGTTGCTGGTAATAAACAATAATTGCAAACTACAATTTACCTATTTTTCTTTTATTCTTCCTACTTCCTATTCCACCCTTCTTCCATCTATCGTTGAAAATAATCACCGTACTTACGCAAACTCTTAAGCAATTATGTTATGATGCAATGAACTCAGTCGTGCAAATGTTGTAGCGAGTGGTGTTTAAGTAATAACATCAAAACAGGCACAGATACCGTTCAAGTGGCTCGTAAACTAGGCAAGAAACATTTGTAACCCAAGTGACAAGTGGGTGGACGTTGATATATTGTTTCTACAATTAGGCCGATGAATAGACGCCAAGGTACCTATATAAACCGTTTATCGTTTCACTTGGCAATCACTCGACGTTACCCCTATTTTCAACAATGAACATGGGGCATATGTGGAAGACCATTTTCGCGATAGCCTTCTTCTTCGGCAAAGGTAAGATTGAATATTGTTATTGTCAATTCTAACGCTGGCATTCTCCTCGATTAATTACAGGTATCGCAAACGAGTGCGAACCGTACCGCGTGGACGACGTGGTAATCGCGTGTGTCTGCAATTCCACGTATTGCGATGGTCCATCGGACGACGAACCGAAAGTCCCAAAGGAGGGTAGCTCTTTTTGGTACGTGACGAATAAGAATGGACTCAGAATGCACAAGTCAGAGGTGAACTTTGGCAGCTGCGACGGCTCTCCCGCCGATGCAACCATCACCGTAGATAGTAGCAAGCAGTACCAAACGATTTTAGGTTTCGGTGGTGGTTTTACCGACTCCTTTGGCATCGATTTAAGTAAACTCAGTCCAGCCGCTCAGGAACAACTAATTCGGTAATCGTTCGATGCATTTATTTCGATATCTTCTTTCTTCTTCGTGTGTATTTACCAACGAAGGTTTGCTGCTTACAGAGCGTACTACGATCCGAAAAAAGGAAGCGGATACACGTTGGGCCGTATACCCTGTGCTAGTACCGATTTTTCGACCAGATTTTACACCTACGACGATGTTGTCAACGACACTTCTCTGAAACACTTTGCACTCGCGGAAGATGATTACAAGTATAAGATGCCGTACGCAAGGAAAGCTCTCGAGTTGAACAAGGAAACGCTATTCTTCAGCGCCGCGTGGACTCCTCCGGCATGGATGAAAACGAACAATAAAATCAGTGGAAAGGGTGCGCGTACGATTGAATAAGATGTTGATTGGATAAAAACAGGTTACATTGGCAATAACGTTGTTGTTCTACAGGTTACTTGAAAAAAGAACACTACCAAACCTATGCTAATTACCTGGTCAAGTTCATGGACGAATACAAAAAGCATGGTATCGATATGTGGGCCATTTCGACAGGTAACGAGCCGCTAAACGCATTTGCATTTAATTTACCTCTCATCAGTATGGGATGGACGCCTAAAATGATGGCTGACTGGATTGCAAACTACTTGGGTCCGACCCTATCTTCGTCGGCACACAATAAAACGATGGTATTAGCCTTTGACGACAACAGACATGTATTACCCTGGTTCGTCGAACCAACGCTTGAGAATCGAGCTTCGTCCAAGTACGTTGTTGGCACAGCTGTTCATTGGTACCAAGATTTCCTTGCTCCTGCCTATCTACTGGACCGAACGCACAACGAGTTCCCGGACAAAATTATTATAATGACCGAAGCATCCATAAGTGAGTCTATCGCGCACCAGCTTTCGCATAACGTACTAATAATCGTTGCTTTTTACATCGGTCTATAGTAGATCCAGTATGGAACACTTCTAAGGTCAAAGATGAGTCGTGGAGTCGGGGAGAAAAATATATCTTGAGTATAATAGAGGTGGGAAAGGTTTATTTTAATCGCGAGAATGATGAAATAATTTTCAACGAAACATATTTTTGTTCAAGTACATGAATCATTGGGCGGTTGGATGGGTAGACTGGAATTTAGCTCTGGACGTATCCGGTGGGCCAACCTGGCAGAAAGATTATCTCGATTCTGCCATCGTTATAAACGCGGACGAGGATGTATTTTATAAGCAACCTATGTACTATGCAATCCATCACATCAGTAGATTCGTCGGTAGAGGTTCAGCGAGAATTTCTGTTACCGGTGATACCTCAGCAGTGGAGTCTACAGCTTTCCTCACGCCATCGGGGGAAGTGGTTGTTGTACTGTATAACAAGTAAGACGCAATATCTTCTTCTTAATATTTACGAAATTTTTCTTGCTAAACGAAATATCTTTGCGATCAAGTTGATAGAAATTTTAGAAAATCTTTTCCCTCCTACAGGGACACCGTACCCAAGCACGTGATTCTGAACGATTTGCAAAATGGTCCGCTTTGCTTCGAGTTATCTCCCCTATCGATGAATACTTTGAAATATAAATAACCAGATTCCCTTCTCTACTATACTAAATCTCATAAGTAAGCCAAAATTGTAAAAAAATTGAAAATAAAATAACAATTCCGCCCAAATAAAGAAATATTAGTGTTTCTTCTTCACCGCTTTCCGATGAAATTTACATCTACGAAACTTGTCACGTGTACACAGGAATTAAATATATAGTCGAATGTGATTACCTTGTATATATTAAGAACAATATAAATAATTGCCATCTTTACTATCATTCGTGATATTTATATTTTTCAAATACATAAATTCAGTACTCTATGCATCTGGATAGTATGTTTTCGCCCAACGGCCTGATTTCTTTTTCTTCGGATTTTCTCGCAAGTATTTTGGTACATAAATCGGTAAATGATCGTCCATTCTTCGTTTCGAGGCATTATAACCAAACTGCCACGGGTCGCGTTTCTTATCCAGAGGACGAGTATCGTTGTCGATCATATAAATTTTCTGCCAATGGTATATCTGAGGCTGTTTGCTATAAAACAAAACACGAATAAAGAACTTTATATAATGATGAATAATCTTGAACTTTATAGATGTAACTAATTACGTACAAATGTCTCGGTCTGTTACTCGTAATATGTTTAAACCGTGTTTCTAACCACGATCTTCGTTCAGGGTCTGCAATATCTGCAACGTGCTTTACGGATTCACCTAAATACGGCTTCATATTTACATTAGTCCTTTCTACAGGTATATTCATATAAAATCTGATTAATTTTCGTAAGACATCTTCGTTAAACCCTTGAATTTCTCCATTTTCTACGGTATCGAATAATTTCATGGGTTCTGTTATCCAACACATATTACGTTTGCAATTTTCATCCGGATAGTCTAAATGTAACATTATGGTGTTTAACTGATAAGCACAGAATGACCAAAATTTACCATTTGTTAAAACTGTTTGTGATACTAATGGATATGTTAGATCGTTTCCCATAGAAAAGCCTAAAATTAAGCATATTTTCTTTTAACAATCAAGTCGATTCAAATCAAGTAAATTTTAAACAAGTTTCTCTTTTAAGTAATACCCTGATAGCAAGCCTGTGACAACAACCAGCCGTAAGATGCATAAATAGCTTGTACCGTAATTGCATCGTCATCCACGTTTCTGGTATCAGAATATACCTCGTTTAAATTATGGTAAGACAGTAAACCAAACTCGGCAGGATCACCAGGCCAAAAACCAGGTATGCAAGTTGCGTGTTTATGTGACAAGCGATAGCCTAGTACTCTAGGATCAAATTTGAATTCAGGAATACTTAAGTCTGGATTGGAAGATTCTGTTAGCGAAAGAATCTCCTTCAAGGGAAGTAGATGTCTTAGTTGCAAAATTGGTGAACCGTAATATTGAACAGGCATATTAATTGGCTCGCTTGCATGTTCTTTCGTACAGTCTGGATTTTCTGTTGCTTTGCTAGATAAAGTTGGACGTTCTATACCACCTACAAACCAAAATGCTTCTACTCTTGGTTCAAAATCTATTTCAGCTTCAAATAAATGTGGTGTATTTGAAGACAGAGTAGCCAATATAATCCTATTGATTTGGTACACAAGTGCTTTTGTAATCTCATCCTCTAATATCTTTTTCCTTTCCTCCTCCAATTGATCTGCTACTTTATGCTCCCTTCTACAACATGCGTTTATTATGTTAAGATTATTTAAAATTATTGCTCCAATGTTTCACATGTGTAAAACTGTTTAAAAAGCGATTAGTATTAGTGGTATACTTTACAGTGTTGGTACTCACAAGCTACTACAATATTCAAATGTAATTACATTTTCTATATGACGTTTAACAGTCTCTATTAAAGCATCCATTTGTTCTGTACTAATTACTGTATCATAAAACTCAGGTAGTTTACCATTGTTTACAACATGAGTATGTGTAATGTACTGAGCATGATGCAACGAATTGTACGGAACCTTTCCTTCTTCTAACATTAACGATTTCCATCCATAGTAACGTGGCATGTTAATTCCAAACAACTTCTCCTCTACAGTATTAAGCTTTTTAATTTTCTCGTACCATTCTTCATGTTTCCTTTTAATCGAGGCTTTGCGGGATAAATCCATTATAGGTGGATAAATTACATTATCTGTTTCACACAGCGCGGTACTTGTATACTTTCGTATAACAGCTTTTAAAGCACTTACAGAACAATTTGAAAAAGGCTTCCGCAACCCGGTGTACATGTTGACAATTGACCACGATCTTTCGATTAATTTCTATTACCAATTATTACTATTATTATAACGTATTCATAATTTTTTACAAGACTTATGTTTCATTTAAATTTATACCGATGATCAGAGGTTATGAAAAATATGCAAACATTGTAGATATACGTACTACTTACCTTTCCCTAGTTTCAACGTTAACCAATGAACAAACGTCCTTGAAGATCCACAAGAAAAGAAAATTATAAATTTTATGCACTTGATATATCTACTGACTATTCTACAACATTAATTTACGCGAATTGTAATTTTGTTATAAATAATTATTACGCATCTGTATGTCGGAATTTATGAAAGTATTATTTAAAAAACTATTTTCACATCGACATATGAAATTATTTCGAAGATTGATAATACGATTGATAATTGACTTAAACTTACAATATCAATTGTATGGTTTTTTAATAAATTGAATTAAAGGTTTTACGTACGATTTGTACGTTTCAGAAAATTTTAACGTACTAAAATATGTTCTATACCGTAGTATGCTATACGTATGTACACGTATAGTATTTATAAACTGCATGTAGCGATCTGTTTGCCGCAAATAATGATCTTGCTCACGATTTTTCCAGAAATTTAATTTTCTTGGTTGATATCCTAACTTTGAGCATAGCATCTACATAAGTACAAAGGATATGTTAATTATTGTCCAAGTCACGTATTCGTACTAAGATAAAAGAGTTTATTACATTCATGTTTATGAGGTTAAGATATTCGAAAAATGCCGCAAGGAACAAGAAAGAAAGCGTTTAGTGGTAAAGCAAAAAAGCAGCAGTTGCAAGCGAAAAAGCAACGGCAAAATTCAGCTTTAAATAGTACGTGTATATTACAACTTCAACGAGTGTTCTATGTTAAATATTTGAAATAACATATTTTTCTAATCAACAGCAGGCTGTCATAGCAGGGGCGACGAAGGCAACGGCGAGTTTGAATACAACGCTATACAAAAGATTAATAAACAACCAAAAGATGATAATTCTTCTAAAAACAGATATGCTTTACAATTTTTCCAAGAAAGCAAAGAAGAATTGATGAAAAGAAAGGAACTAGGTAGAAGTACTATCGAACCTTTATCTCTTAAAGATCAAGAAGTTTCCGATAACTATTTTCCACCTGAAATCGATATGCCCAAAAGACCACCTTGGGATTTCAATATGTCGAAAGATCAATTAGAATTAAGAGAGCAAAGATATTTTACCGTAAGGATTTACAGTTTTCGTTTAAACTTCTTGGCGTGTAGCTTTAGGTTAATAGATTCTTATCTTTTTAGGAATATTTGAAAAATGTGGGAAAATTAAGCGCTATCAGTTACTTTGAATTAAACATAGAGACTTGGAGGCAGTTATGGAGAGTTTTAGAAATATCAGATGTTTTACTGATCATTGTCGATATCAGATTCCCTGTTTTAATGTTTCCTCCATATTTATACGACCATGTGACAAACGAACTTAAAAAGGACATGATTTTGGTATTGAACAAGGTTGACTTAGCTCCTCCTGCCTTAGTAGTAGCATGGAAAGAATACTTTCGTACCATGTATCCAAAATTACACATTTTGATGTTCACGTCGTATCCTACGTATAATTTACGCGGCAACAGAAATGAAACAGAAGGATTGAAACAACGACGTAGGAAGGGAAAATTAAAAATGGCAGCAGAAGGAGCTCAGAAACTGTTGGATGCTTGCAAGGAAATAGTCGGGGATAACGTGGATTTGAGTTGTTGGCACGATAAAATTGAAGAAGAAATGCAAATCGAATTTGATTTAGACGATGCCGATCATAAAGATAACGTTATCATTGAAAAAGAAGATACAAGTTATTTCAAACATGAACGTTATAAAAATGGAGTTTTAACCATCGGATGTATCGGAACTCCAAATGTTGGAAAATCGTCTTTAATGAATGCGTTAATGGGTAAATGTTATTTCGATATAAAAAACAAACAGTGTTTAAGTACCGAAATGTTAAGAATGAAATATCGATTGCAGGAAAGAAGGTTGTTAGCGTATCGCGTACACCGGGACATACTAAACATTTTCAAACTATATTTCTTACAAAGAACGTTTGTCTCTGCGATTGTCCAGGATTGGTATTTCCATCTACAGTACCTAAACAGCTACAAATATTAATGGGATCTTTTCCAATAGCTCAAGTCAGAGAACCGTACTCGACAATTCGATTTCTAGCTGAAAGACTAGACTTGCCAAAGATACTGAAAATACAGCATCCGGACAACGACGATACATGGTCCGCTATGGACATTTGCGACGGATGGGCTGCTAAGCGAAATTTCGTAACCGCACGAGCCGCCAGGCTCGATTCTTACAGAGCAGCTAACTCGTTATTGAGAATGACGCTCGAAGGAAAGATTTGTATGTACGTGTATCCACCAAACTGGACGGATAAGAAAGGTAAAGGTTATTACGATACCGGGTATAAATGATCTATCGCGTAAAATCGATTCGTTTTTTCTCTACAACGTGTAAAATTTGACAGACAAATGGGAGAATCATTCGGAAGTTGAACTTGTCAGATGGATTCAAGCTAGAAACAAAGAACACGACGTTAACGAGTTGGAAAAGGTGTACACGTCGTCCGAAGATAAAAGAAAGGAGAATCGGATGATTCCGACGGTACCGCCAGCCAAGAGTCAGTAATACCGCATGTTGTTAATAAATTTGAAGCATTGTCTACAGATGTATAAAGAAGTTGGTTGTTTATTAGTTATTGTTTAACATGTTTTATTAATTCCTAAATACACGTTATATGCGTTAAGCTATCTATTTCCAACGAAATAGGCTATAACATTTATAACGGAAATGTTCGATAAGTAAAAACATTATATGTATGTCTATATATATATATATATATATTTTATCACGCATTATTGTTCTGCATCTAACGATTTCTAATTATTTATTGTACCGTTATGTATATATACATTAGCTTCTGTTACTGTTTCGTTGGTCCACCACTATGCAGCAATATATTATATTTACGAAAGGGAGCTCTTACATAGAAGCACGATCAGTTTTCATTTTGCTGTTCGAGACGATTTGCAAGAAGAAATAATAGATAATTTACGTTTCGAGGCCTATCGAATTTATGTGAGAAAGCGTAGCAGAAGATGTGTAAATATTAACAGAACAACGGTAATACGGTAATGCAACAGAATTATTTTTGAAAAATGCAGAGTTATATTTATAAAAGTAAACTATAACTATCTATATTGTGGAAAATGTGCAATTCACGTTTCTAAGCTCCCAGCAACTTTTTAACGGAGTAACCAGGTATTGCATAAAAGAACAACAATATGAGTATTATTAATCCGATTGTTACTACAGCTTTTAGGATTGCCCATTTGTAGTTGTGCCACACGATGTACTTGATGGATTTCAAGGGATTCAAGAACCACATGAAAGACGCGTCTGGTCGACTGAAAGAAGAAGTAAAGGATTGGTGGAGCATTGGAGAATTTTCAAGTAGATGGTAGTTAAGAGGAATGATCGTAGCTCACTTTGGTTTGTCAAGCGGATCCGGTTCATTTCTACCGAATCCCGCAGGATTCTTCTCAGCCTCTTCTTTCGTCAATAAATGAATTTCAGCTTCTACCTTACCCTAACGAAGTTTCACGAAGGATTACGAGAGTTTAGAAATTCCCTCGACAGACAGTCGAGATACGAATGGAACATTTACCGTCAGTTCCGTGTCTTCGTTCTCCTTCTTCACGTAAAACGGCCACCAGCCTTTTACTCGTTTTTGTTTGAAAATATTTACAGTTGGCACAGATCCATCGGTCTTCAACATGCTCAAGGTGCAAAGCTTGCTATTCTTCGCACCGCGAGGAAATCGATTCAAGTCGAGGGTGATAGCACCGAGAAAATCGTCAGCCGAGAAATGATCCGCGTCCCAGACCTGGAAAGTATTATGCATGTATAAAGTTCTAGAATCGAATTCTCAAGATATTACCTGTAATTCGAGACGAGCCGGTATCTTGCATTCAGTCTCGTCCCAGCTGAAAAGGCTCTCCTTCCGGTTGATAACGATCTTCTCCTCTGCTACGAGATAATCGAACGGAAATATGAAGCGCCAGTTAAAATTTCCTTCGCCCGTTAGGGACCGGTAATGGATATCGGTGGATTGGCAATCCTCCGGACCTTTCAACCATCTATCGAACAGACAGACAGTTATTTCATTGGGAATTTTCATTCGTCAGACTGTATTCTTCGCACACTGTCTGCGTGGTGTTAGTAGTACCCTTTGACGTAAATGTCGCTCATCTTTTCACCGGTGAAGAACGCGTCGTCTTCGAGCACGACGTCGTCGGTGTTCCATATCACGATTCTGAGCTCGTAACTCTTCGGTTTCCTCGGTGAAATATTGATCGAAGGTCCCGGCGAAGGCATATCCATGGGGAACATGTCCACCCACATCTCCAGCTTCCCTTGCTCGATTCCTGGCTTCTCGGGATTGTAAAGCGGACGCGTTTCGACGTGCTCGGGGACCAAGGCGCAACCGATCTTCGGGAAAGCGTGCCACTGATGAAGAACAGCCAACGCGAGGTGCTCCTCCATACCTTTGGTGTGAACGTAAAATTCCATTTCCTCGTTCGACAAACAAAATGTTTTCCTCCCTATCGTCACTTTTCCGTGCGAATACACAGGCCCGTCCACCTTTCCCTCCTTGCACAGCCTCGACAACACCTGAGTGGGTTTCATCGCGTCCCTCCATTTGTTGTAACCAGATCTGAAATACTTCAACTTGAATAACTATGTCGTCTCTGTAAAACGAGTTTCTCAGAAGGGGACTTACTCGTCGTAGTTTCTGGCCAGACCGCAGGTAGCACGATGCTTGCTGTAGAATCGATTCTCGAGGTCGATCTTCGTTTCGCCGATCATGTCGTCCGCGCCGAGTAAGTCCCAGTCGAGCACTTGAACGGTGAGTAAGGAGTCTTGCGGGAAAGTTGCCTCTATCTCGAAGCACCTTCGACGTAAACAGGTTGAACGTGATTCCAGTTGAGAATAGCGTTTTTCTATTCTAATAGAATAGAGCGTTACGTACTTGCCGAATATTGGGTTGAGCTGCTTCGACACGTAATTCTCCTTGTCGCTGATCCTTTTGCCGCCCAGTTGCAGGACGACGTAAGGATCAGCCTTGCCGTTCAGGTCACAGGGATGAAGATCGTTCGCTTTCACGATGTACACTCGAACCAAGACGTGGATCGGTTCGTTGGAAGGTACACCTTGGAAGAATCCAAATTGCGGATCGAATCCCATCACCGTGTGCTCCGTCAGGTCTCTAGGAAGAGGCCACTTGTAAACCTTCAAGGCCCCCTTGAAACTTCCAACTATCCTCGACTCGTCCTCGGGCTCGTCTCCAATTTTCTTCCCCCGGTACAGTTCGAACGTGTGCAACCATTCCTTGAACTGTTCGAATTCCGGCTGAGCTTCCAATTCGTTGGGGTAAATCCTGAGGAGGTGCGACGTCGGCTGCTTGGGGCTGAGCTTCGACACGAATCTTGCCGCGTTCGCGCTCGATTTTAGGCCGAACAGTTTTCTCGGACTCGCTTGGTTCTGACGAGCGTAATTTTCCTCCAAGGTTGGAACCGTGCCGTTCGCTTGCGCCTGGAACATTGGTTTCTCTCTACGAAGCTCCTTGTTCGCCTCTATCATTGCTTCCACGGAGGCGTAGTACTTGGTCCACCAGTCTTGACAACCGTCCCCGTCCTCGGACGCGCCGAGATCTCCTGACAGAGGTCAGGATCTTACCTTACCTTGAAAGGATTGCGTGAGTTATCGAATAGCTCGTGGTGACTCACCCGTGCTCCCGTCGTTGGCCAAGCTCTGCTTCTTCCGTATGTTCTGCTCCGTTTTGTCCCTCTTCGTCGGCCAACCTTGCTCCAAGCCCAGAGTGATAATCGTGTCTGCCAGCTCGGCCAAAGACTCGTGGAAGGAGGTCTGCTGATACTTGATCTTCGACGTATCGAAACCTGTGGAAATATGTACATACTTGGACGTTCGAAGCTTTCGAACTTGAATATTACCCACCCGTGTACAATTCCAACTGACAGAGACTCCTCTCCCTCTCTTCGGCCTCACTCGCCTTCTTGGTTTGCGGACAGTACATGTACTTGTGTATCGAATTGATCGTGTGCGTTCCAACGAGAGTGTATCGACCGAAGCTCCTGCAATCCACCGCCCTGATGGACAACGGTGGCCGATACAGTTCCTGTTCCGGTAACTCCAACTCCAACAGCTTGACCGGCGTGTTGAAATTCGGGTTCTTCTTCGCGTTCGTTATCACCGAAGAGTAGAGGATGTGACCGGCGCATTCCACGTCCACGCGAGGCTTGTCCACGGTCATCAAGTGGACCCTCTTCAGGTCCCTCAGGCCCCAGAATAGAACCTCGATTCTGTCGCACGGAAAGAAATTGTCGATGTCGATTGTCGATTTCGAGCGTAAGTAAGTCCAAGCTGAAAACCTCACCGGTACTTGGACAGAGTCGGCCGAATGCCGACAGGAACCGGAAGGATGGGTCCTCGATCCTGCGCGCAAGTCGGCGTTTGAACCGGCATTTCCTTCGGATCTGGCAGCGTGGGGAAGCCGTACTCCTTGTTCGATGGGTATTCGAGCAATTCGAAAATCGCGAGAAGCTCGCCAGCCCTTCCCGCACCCCTCGTCACGTCGTACCATTCCAAGGAGGGTGGAAACTCCGGAGGCGTGTAAGTCTCTGTGGCGAGTTTCACGTGAGGTCGCGCGACAGCTCGACCTATGTACTCCGACTTGCCCTGGAACGGCACGCGTTTTTACCTTCATCCCCCTCCTCGTATCTCGCGCAAACAACTTTCTTACTTATCTCAAAACCATCTCTCTCTCTGCTCTTTTATTCGCAAACGGGGAAATAAAATGAACAAACTGTTAAAGCAGAGCCCTCATGCAGTGTTATGTCGATAGTTAGAGAAAATGACTCTGTAAAAAGAGAATCGGAGAAAAGTTGTGCAGGAACGGAAAGAAAGCAAAACTGGGGTATGGAAGAACGTCCCCGGCCTGACTGACGTACCACTTTGTCTTGATCGAAGATTTCGACCACGATCGAGGGTGGGTCCTTTTTGATTTCGTCGTCCGTGCCGTAGATCAAGACGTCGTCGAAGAGGAGAAGCTCGTCCCAAGTCGGGCTGAGAGTCTCGTCGATCACTTGCGTCGACTTGCAGAACTCGCCGCAAATCACTCTGGCGAACGGATCGGAGAGACCGGACGCGTCGCTGCCGATCAAGGACCGAGCCTGATACATGTGCGCTCGTAGCTGGAACTTCTGCTCGGTAATTGGAACGTTTCGAACATTTGAGTAATTCCATGGCATTACCAACTACGATTTCCACGCTTGCCAAGTACGTACGTGTTTATCGACGTAATGGACGATGGTCGGTGGCAGAGCGCGTGGTCTGTCGATGTTCTTCATCTCGTTGCTGACCTCGTACCCCTTTGGTAAACCTTGACTAAAGTACTTCTTGTGCTTCAGTATACCTAGCCACGTGTAAATCCGTAGTTTCGTCTGTATCGCCCAGCCCGAAGGTCCGAATCTCTTCTTCCCTGGAAGCTGTCGATTTTTCGCCGTTATTATCAACGTCAACGTTATCATCAACCATTTCCACTTTCTGTCGTACTTTGAGAAACATGGTTTGCACTTTTCCACAGTATCGCCCGCACTCCTCGTCGACGATCGAGTAAATTAGATCTCTGCCGGGTATCCTTTGATAAGCCACTCGACGTCCAGAGCTGATTACCCAAATGAAAACATCCGGCAGGGAATCTTGAGGCTGAAAACCGAACTTTCGCTAATCTACCCTAGCGCGTAATATCCTCCGTTGATTACTCACGTCTTCGACGAGGAACTTCAACTTGTGCAAGTAACCTTGCGCCGTCTTCAGTCTTTCCTTGAAGCTGCTCTTTGTCACAACAGCCCTCAGATTCCTCGACATAACCCCTACGTTCTCCAGTTCTCTCTGGCACAGTTTCGCCCTTTCCTTGTCGAGCTTCGTTTTACCAACACCCGGCCCTGTCAGGCCCGATTTACCGATGCCCACGTATCGATTGCAGTTGCCGCTCAATTCTTCCAGCGTCGACCGTAAAATTCTCTCGCCCGAACAGTCGTCGGCGTGCAGTTGAGCCTCCGACAAACCTTCTTCCTATCCGGGATTAGAAGCAACAAACAAATGGTAAAGTACGCCCCCCTTCGACCCCTTTCTCGCGACCATTTACCAATTTATCAGAGATTTTGCTGATTATATTGCTGTTGTACATCCTGCGTCTGTTGTCCGGCCAGATGCTGCGGACGTGAAGGCACGGTTTATCGTCCCAGTACGGTAGAAAGTAGTAAATTTTGTCCCTGGTCATCGGTTTGCAGGGTGGAGTAGTGCTCTGCCACGATCCGCTCAATACCTCCTGCAGCTCCTCTTGGTCTCCGCTCGTGCCACTCTTCGGTCCCATCTCGCACATCTGACATCCACCGAATACGATTTAATTTTCGACCCAACAATTTTCAATCGACCCGTTTTTTGCCGCTTACTTTCGAGCTCTCGTTGTGACCGTCCAAAGCGTTTCCCGCGTTCCCTATCGACAACTCCAAGTACATCGGTTTTTCGCCGAGCTTCCTGTCGATCATCGTCGCGTCCATTATGGTGGCGAACAGGAAGAACTCCTCGTTCCTCGCGTAAGCGGATTCGTTTACGGGCATCGCGGGCTCCACCTCCACCTCCGACGGAGCCATTTCAACGTTGTCGCTTATCTCCGTTCTAATTGCTATCAACAATCTAGGGCGTGAAAACGAAATAATTCATCTTGTTCGTCGACTGACCGACGAAAGTAAGTAGGTAAGCAGAGAGTAAGGACGGGGAGAACCTTGCTCTGTAGGAGATTCCCTCGCCGAGTCCCGCGTTCAGCGTGGAATGTTGGTCGATCAGGCTGTAATCCCTGATACTTCCGTAGAAGTGAACGAAAGCTGGACCGAAGGTGGGCAGAAATCCCTTCTCGCCGTCGTTGCTGATCTGCTTCAAATCGACGAAATGCGTACCGATCACCGTCGCGTGAACCGGGTCGTTGTCGCACAGCTGAATTTTAATCCGCTGACAGAGGGGTGGAAACATTTCCGTGAAAACGATCTGTTCGTTCCAAACTGGCGCGTAACTGTTCCTCTTGACGCTCGTCTTCCCCTGAATCGCGTGAAAAGTATTATACCGTTTCAAGGATTCCCCCTTATCGCAAAATCTCGTAAAATCTCTTACGGTCAATCCAGCGAACGACACTTGAACGTACGGATCGACGAGATCCTTGACCTCGCCCGTAAACGCCTTCTTCACGTTCGCCATGATGCTGCTGTTCATCTTCGGCAGACCGTCCGCTCTGTACACCTTCACGATGAACTTGGCCCGCTGCCGCTCGATAGGCACACCGTCCGGCAGTAGCAGATTCCCCTCGATATCGTCCTCGTCTTTCTCGCTCTTCGGCGGAATCTTCACCGAGTCCCCCTTCCCGATCACGCTTATGTCGCATTTCAAATAACCCTTCGGCCCACCTGCCACGTCGTCCGGGTCCGTCAGCAGCGCCCATTTGTGGTAAAATTGGTGATCTACGGAGGAAATGCCGGGAGCGTATGTAACGAACGCGTTTCGAATTACGAACGGATGAGAGAAGATGAGCAGTCATCCGCTTCCGGTGCATCTTTGCGGCCTTTCGAAATCTCTCCCATAGGTACGTGTACACTTTTGAACTCTGCTACTTTGAACTGCTATACACGTACACTAGACCTTTTCTCCGCGATACGATTGATTAAAGCGCAGAGTCACGGACACGCGTGCGCTCGAATTAATCAAAACGGTATACGGAATTCTATTACTATACATGTGCGGTTAGCGTTTTATGCGTTTATGCGTTTATGCGTTTATGCGTTTATGCGTTTATGCGTTTATGCGACAGAAGCGGCATGACTTAGCTATCTATTTACTAGAAGCGATGTGCAAAAGAGTTGGACGAGACATGCGCCGAAATGGTACACGACAAAGATGAGACTGAGATTTTACGTTACGCGTCATGCGTAACAAATGAGTGTAAAAAGCATGCAGGACTCTTCGAATCCGGATAATCCTTTATCCTCGATGAAACTGTTCGACACAGGACTTTCGAGAAAAATTGTACCTGGTTGTGCCCACACAGTCGCGATGTCTAACTTAAAGCTGCCCAGCGTTAGATTAGCGCGTAAGATATTCCGCGATTGCTGCACCTGCGTATCAGTACAAGGTATTTTCACTTGAGGTAATCTTTATTCGCCTTCTCCTATTCTTTCTCCGTACGTACTTAAATTCCGTGAGAACGGCTCCCCTTTTCGCAAATTCAATTCGTCGCGATATTCACAGAACGTATCGACCAAGGCCAATTGATTATTCGAATAGTCTAACGAAGCGGGTAGCTCCCTAACTTCTATAATCAGCAACTATGCCAAGTGAGTGAAAGTTGGAACGTGACTTACCGACAGGGTGATTATTTTATCGAACAGCATTACGGGCGGCATGTGAAAATCGAAGACAAAGTACTGGAAAAGAGAAGAGTAGCAGGAGATCTGATTAATTCGCGGACCGAACGAGGGAAACGATACCAAAAAGGGAGAGTTTAAAAATTGATCAGGCTCACCTCGTTGTAATACGGACAGTTGGTAGATTCTTTCACGCTGGTGTACTTTCGTTGCTCTCCGATCTGCACGCAAACGACAGGGTCCATGTTCAGTCCAGCTAGCTGTCTCGCCTCGATAACGGTGATGCAAACTTGGAAATCCTGCGCCTTCAACGCGGCTTGCCCCGTGTCTGTGGTCTACATCGAGGGAATTGTTACTCGTTTCCTTCTCCCTAGGTGCACTAGGTGCACTAGGTGCACTAGGTGCACTAATTCGTTTTCGAGTTTAGAGAAGAATCCCGAAGCTTCTTTAAATAAATCTCGACAACTTTTCGGGCTCGAACCTTCGGTTTCGGTTTGTTGGTCGGTTTGGCAATCGCTTCCTGAGACTCGTCCGTGTTCCCTCTGACTTGGCTGTCGCACTCGGAGACGTTCGTTTCCAGGGAAGTCGTCGAATTGGTCCTGGAGGATTCGTTAGACGTTGCGCAACTCGAGTCCCTCCTGTCGAGCAATCCGCCGGTGTCCGAGCCGCTGTCGCACGATCGAGCTCTCGCCGGTCTCTGCTTGCCCAGCTTCATAAAGGATCTTAACGTCGAGCTCCGGCTGTAACAACGCGTTCTTTTCTCCTCCCTGCTTGGAATCTTCTCCGCTTTATTTATTTATTTATTTATCTATCTATCTAATTTGAGACGCGAAGCGGTCAAAAATGCCAGGGTGCAAAGTTGGCGGCAAGTGATTCCTCGAGGAATTTCTCACCTCTTGCGGTCGGATGACTTTTCGGGCAGCAACGAGCTACCCCTTTGTAAGAGGCCCCGTTTCGACGTTTTCTCAGGGCTCTGCCAAGAGCCCTTCCTCTTGCCGCCGCTGGTGCCGCTGGTGCCGCTGGTGCCGCTGGTCGCTTGCTCGAGGCTCCTCTCGAGGTTCGCGATGTTCTGCTCGATGTCGATCAACATCTGTTGCTCGTCCTCCATTATTTCCGACACCGCGTACGAGCTGCAACTTCCGTCCGGGGGGTTGTATCGTATTTCGAAGCAAACGACAGCCTGTGAATACCAAATGCATTTTCCTCCACCGAGCCAACCACAATATGCGTCCAACCTTCAATATCGGTCTCGAATAGGGATATTTCAAGGTACGGGAAACTCGACTTCTACTCCTGAATATTTCACGGAAATACCGAACGACCGTTATCAAACGGAAGAGGGTAACGTCGATTACTCGGAACGGGGTAATTGAAACGTGTCATTCGATACAGAATTGAAGTTGAGCGGAAGCTGTTATCGGGAACGTAGATAGCCTCTGTTCCAACCTACCGGAAGCGGTTTGTTATTCAGGTCTACTAACGAATCCGTCACGACGATTCGACCTTCCCGCACCACCGTCTGCAAAACCAGCCCGTACTTGGCCACCATCTTTTCGTTCCTCAACACTCCGCGCGACACCACCCATAATTCCAATATCTCGCCCTCGTCCACCGGCCTTCCCAAATTCCAGGTGAAACTCTGCAAACAGATTCTTTCGATTTAATCAGTTTGCGCAACCGACCGAACTGAGCGCCAACCTGCTGCTCGGTTGGGATTCGTCGCCCGGTTGGAAAACTTGGAATACTCCAAGACCAATTTCGACTTAATTAACCTCACATTGAACTCGTCGACGTAATTCTAGTTCCGGCACGTCCCACTTTGCATCGCTCGGAGAAAATTCCGCTTTTGGAAAAACGTCGTTGGAAAATATTAAACGTCGAGCGGCTGCGCGTTATCAGATATTTCGCAGTGTATGATAAATTCACGCTCGTATGCAACTCGTGGTGACCTGTTTGTCGATCGACCACATCGACACGCACTTCCCCTTCGGCCGTGACATCAAATTCCGGTAGAAATGCGCGCTCGCGTCAATTGTATTTTTAATATTACCTTCGAAAAATCGCCTCGCGAGAAGAAAAGCCAATCTCCTTTCTCCCCCGCAGCTTTAATTCAAAAATTGAAATTCCGAAGAATCGCGTGTAGGTTAGGTCGCGACGCGAGATCAGTACAGGTACGTTCGCGTTTCTTACGCGTGCCCATTCAGGGCGACGAGTGTCCAAGCACGGAAGACGATAAACGAGCGTTACGTCGGAAAGGCGTTTTCCTAAAGTTCCCTTTAATCGAGGGAAAAACTGGGTCGAGATAAGTGCTGGATAGACAAGACGTACCATGTACAATTCAACGCGCTCGTTTGCTCTCGTTGCGCTCTTCTTGAAAAAAATCACAAACTCTAGATACCGAATCTTACGCGGACCTAACTTCCCTCTTCGTACAGCACGTAAGAGGGAAAGTTGAGAAAAGTTCCTCCAACCTTCGTATTCTTTTCCTACAGATGGGAACGATATACGTATGCAGGTGTAATTGCACTTCCAGTCAGAAGAATAGGAAAAGTTGAACGGCGGTAATGAAAAAGTGAAATTGCATTTTAATGAAAAATGCGAGCATCAACGGCCGTGTTATTTCCCAATAAAGCCAATCTCGTCTTTTCGCAATTTTCTCCCTAGCTTTTATATGCGCTGTCAATTACTTTACCGACGAACTTACGAGATGTCTGCGAATGTCGCGGTTGACTTTCTGCCTTACCTCGTCTACAGCGATATGATCTCCGCTTTCCTCCAGGCATTTCGAGTAACGAGGAACACCTGCAATCGAAACGACACTCTTACACAATCGTTCCGACAGTGGTTCGGGATGGTTGGGCGATAGAAGTGTAGTTTATGCACGAGATGCGAGAAATGGGAAGGAAAGCTTGTATTTCAGCTTGTCGAGCGCTTTATGTATTTGGAAACCGGCAAGATAAATACTTTGAAGGAAATACGAGCGACGTTCCTCTTCTAAGCTCCACGCGAGTACCAGTGAAAAGATACGAGCGGAAATCTGATTACCAGCACGAGTAGGCACCGCTTAAACGTCATCTCGGTGCCCATAACAGATTCCACCAGCGAATAAAAATGCTATCGTATTTATACCTTATCGAAATACTTCGCCCTTGTATTGTACGTTGCTAGCAAACTATAATCTGATTTTCATTCACGCGACCAATTTCTCTCAGTTTCTTTCGCGAATAGCGGCACCGGGGCCCTAAAACAGAAGCTCGACTGTTATTTCAGCTAAAGTCGAGGCTCGTGTCGGAGAATCTCCGGTCTCTGTTCGAAACGAGTGGCGAATAAAGTTGCAAGTAGAAATCAGAGAATCGCGTGATACTGGACGTGAAGGATAAGTTGACGCCCTAGATTCCTGGGTCACCCTAGATGACCCTGAGCAACGATGAAAGGGAAGATTGGCTTTACGACTGGCGTGACCCTAATATTAATTAGGGAAATCAGGTAAACGGTTAAAGGGGGTCGAGCGAGGTCAGGTTCGTCCGTGAACTGGACCAACCATGATTACTTAAATAAAAGTCCTCTGCTCGCTTTAAATACTGCAAAGCACACAACGTCCGCTCTTTTTTCACCACCGAACAACAACTTCCTTTACGCGAGCTTCCAAGCGGAAAAGTTACAAGTCGCTTGTGGACTTTTTAATTGGATTACCTCGGTACGTTGAAATTGCTCGACTGAATACGAAAACGAAGTATCGTATGGAAGCAAATGGTTTCTTTCAAGCAATCGCAACGATCCGGAAAATGTCGATGAATCGCATTCGCACCAGTATCTCTACGAGAGGTATATTCCCCGTGTACGGTTAATTTTCCAATCGTATACGAAACCTGGTTTAGTATAATATTTCGAGTAATATCGAAATCGCCTGTTCAAAGGTACAACGTTGCATTTGTCCAACGATATTTCAACGTAAATACAGAGGTATTAACCGAAATGTCAAACTGTACGTTGAAATTTGAGTGAGCTAAACCAATCCTCTCCATAACCGAAAAATGTACAATTTCTATTTGCTCAACTGCTATTTAAAACGAGTCGTACACATGTCGACGGTGATCGGCACGTGGGCGGGGATGAAAATAGTCGGGTTTTGTAATTAATTCAGGCAACGTTGCGTTACGATTTCAACAGGGCAGTTTAACGGTTTGCGGTTAGATAAAAGTTCATGGTTGCAATAGCCGACCACGTCCATGGAAGTTTAAGAACAGTGGATTTCTCTAGTAGCTTCGGTCTCGATGAAAGTCGCTGCAATCAAGCACGGTCCGTTGTGGCATGGATGACAGGTTCGTTTTAAATACAGCACGAGGAAATAACGAGGAACAAGTACGTCTAACGATCGCAGATAATTTGAATAGATCGCGTGTTCGTTGATACATCTGATTAACCACTGATTAGCGACGATAAACACGTGGAATCGAAGAACAACGAGCGTAGCTTTTCGATGGAAAAAAAGAAAGAATCAGTTCCCGCTTTAAAATTCGTATCGGAGGAAACGATCGCGAAAAGAGCTCGTTATTTCTGCACGCAACCGTCAAGTTGTTAATTAACGTGTTTGGTGTTTGTACAGCACGCGTCGATCTCCTAATTGATTCAAAATTTCAGCGCCTCGTCGTAGAACGTTATCTTTCGAAAGTAGGTAGTTTATCAAACTGTGCTTGATCGTCTTTTCGGCAGACACGTTTCAAGAAATTCGACTTAACAAATTGACGTATCGGTTAGGTGTCGAGCGAGAGACAACAGGTTACATGGACATGAAGGGAGAACCGTGCATTAATTCCCGAAATAGCGTAAAACAGAATTACTAGGATCGCCGTTAACCGCCGTTCTTCTCCCCGCAGAGTTCAATTAACTTTTCAACTTTTCAACTTTTCAACTTTTCATCGACACTTGGAGAGGAAGACTTACCCCGGAAGTCGACCTTGACGACCTTCTCTCCTTTGCACTTCAATCCTTGAAAGTTCCTCACGATAACGACCAGCGCCATTCTACCCCGATTCTTCCTCGAATCTGTGCAATCTACCCTTACACATCATACCGTGCACCTTTCCTCGATCGTCATCTCGAGCGGCAGAAGAACGGCGGGACCAAGTGGCGGCTGTGATCCAGAGCAATCCGATTTTAAGAACGACAGCCGGATACTCGAGCGTTTTCTGTGAGATTCGAGGGAAACTGTGGTACGCGACGCCGGTGCCGCGAGTCACGGGTGTTCGCCAGCGTCGGCCAGTTCGGACTGGCTGGTGTTCGCGTGTCGAACAACCCCCCGAGTCCTGCCCGTTCCGTCCTCGAGAACTAGCGCAAGCGCCACTTGGGCACACGCGTCATCGGCGCAGCCATCCGCCATCTCGCCCTCTCTTCATCCTCCACAGCCACCGCTGGCCACCTCTTCCTTACAGTCGCAGGACATCCTACCCGAAACTTGCTGACATACTTGAAACGCTGCTGCTGCATACCCGAATAGCGTGTTATCGCGACACCAGTGGCACGCCTGTACAGGCTGATCCACCAAAGGTGGACGAAAGTTGCACTCGTAATTTACTTTTCAAATTTCATACTTGTCCTCGATTATCCTGTCACGGAAGCGGAAGCCAGAAGTGGCGAGAAATTGATCGACTTTGCAGACCTCTTCTTAACGAAACTTCCCAATATCGAAAGACGTTGAAACGTTTCGAGTATTTGTTCGAAAAGAAAAGAGTAACTATTTTAAAACCCTAAATAAATACGTCCAAAATACGTCCAACTTTTAGTCTAACCTAATTATTCAACTTTCTTCGACCGTTTGCAAAACGAAGAAAACAGAGAGAGAGAGAGAGAGAGAGAGGTGTTTCGGAGAAAGGATTGTTGCGATCCGGGAAATCAATAATGGGAGAGAGGTTAGGTCTGAAATTTCTCAGCGCCACCCTATTATCAGATTTGGAACTAATAACTGTATACACTTGGTCTTTTCATCCATTTAATTCTATCGTACACCTTTATCTTTTACACGACTAAATCTCTCTTACTGCTACACGACAAATGTACCACCTCCTTGCTTTTGTCAAATCTTCTTCCTACCGTCTCCCCGATTTACCAAGTTGAAAATCTCCCGTTTCCTGGTACCGCGAGAATACAAGTTATTTATACAATTCCGCTTAAAAATATTATCCCAAAGTATAGGGAAAATTTGTACGACGTCTTGTGTAATTTCGAAACTTGTGAATCAAGTATGAATCTTCTCGACGATCCCGCCAACAATTGGCAACGATTTCATGTGCTCCGTTACGAAATCCAGACCTATTCTTGCTAATTCCAAGTTCTTGTAGATCATGTGTAACATTCCAAAGTAAAACAGGTAGACGGCGAGTATGTGAATAACGTACATCCTGAAAAATATGAGAGAAATGAATTCGCAGTACGCTCGTCTTACCGGAAAATCTGAAAGTAAATGTAGAGAAATAAACTTACACTGCTTGGTACCTGCGAGCTCTCGGCAAAGTTGACAAATCCTCCTTCATGCAATACTGGCGCGCACCTAGAACGCAGACCTTTATGTACTCCGTCTCGTCGATGGTGAGAAAATCGATCGGGAAAATTTCTTTATCCCTCGGGTTCATTTCGCTCCACATTATTAATAAATTTGTGTTGTGGAAGACCCACTCCCTCATGGTGAAGTACTGCAAAAGTTCCAGCCCGACTGAAATGCGTTTCTGAATACGAACCATGCTGGAAGAAAAGAAGAAGGAACGCTCGTGAGGAGGAAGGATCGTGGAAGCGAAGTCGAGTACGAAGAGAAAAGCTTACAATCTTTTCTGCACAAATATCAGCATGAGAAAATCGATGAGGTAAGCCGGTACGATGTGAAAGAAGAAGACGAGCAGATTGTGTACAAACTTGCTAGTATGTATGTCACCGGCTGGATACCAAACTTGTCCTTGGAACGGATACTCGTAAGCAATCGCCTTCCCTTTTCCCAATATTTCTCCCCACGTGATGGGCAACACTCTGCTTTGCGTAATGTTGTATACCGGTATAGTTTGCGCCCTGGCAAACGCGTTGCAAAAAGTCATTACATACCGCGAAACAATTGGTTATCTAAAGGTTGCTACAATAGAAGGTGCACTGTACTCTCGAGATCTCCGACAGATTATCTTGGTTGAAGAAGAGAGCACGGGTGAGAAAGGAAAACTACGTAAGAAAGCGTCTAGCTTACTTTTCCCCGGTCGCTGTCCTATGCGCAATTGCTATTAAAGCGTTGATAGCAAAATCGACGGGTACCACTTCGGCGTGATAGCTGCCGTTGCATAGCATCGACCTTATCACACCTTTGCCAGCGCCCACCATCAGACCCACTGGCCCGTTTAGATTGTCCACCCATCCTGGTAACGGTTCTGCCAAAGCTGGTGTTACTGTACGCACAATACATGTTACCTTTCCCCTCCCTTTCTTAATTCTCCTCGAAAGTTAATTTTAAAGAAGTTTCGCGCTCATTACCGATCGACGGCCTAGCGATGGTGCAAGGCAAACTCGGATACTCGTCTGCCACCAGTTTCTCAGCCAATCTCTTCGAGTAAGTGTAAGTATTGGGGTGAAGGTCCAACAACCTGTGGTATTAGACGAAATCGGTATGTGTCAGTACCCATGTTTTAGTAGCTGTAAAAATTCCACGAAAAATTGAATTACTTGGGTGTGATAAGATCGATGCTACTTTCGTCTAGCCATTCCACCAGCCTCGTAATATCCTCGGGATCACTCGACGGATCGTACACTTTCTCATCCAGTTCTTGTTTATCCGCGTAACAAAAAGCTGTGCTCAGATGCACGAGCGCCTGTAGCTTCTTCATTTTTTTCCCCAAGTCCAACACCCTGCTTGTTCCAATCTTGAATGGTAATTTTTACGTCTCGTCTCTTTCCCAACAATCGCAGAGAAACGAAAGGGAAACGAAAGGGAAAGTAAACTGACCGTGTTCAATTCGATAGCATCCTTCAATTTCGATTCCAATCTGAGGGTCGCTGCGAAATGGAATACCAGGTCGACTTGGCTCGCCAATAATTCCTCCTCCTCTTTGGTCAACCCTAAATTCTCCGCACCGACATCTCCGTTCAAGGGCACAACTTTCTTAAGGACGTGAGGCTTCTCTTTCCTGATCCTTTGAAACATCTGTTGGTCGAATCGAATATATCGACCGACGAACCAGAGATTACTCGAATATCCAAATCCATACTTACCGGCAATTTAAACATTTCCTCGACACGTATTTCGGGAGTTCGACCTCGCTTCGGCCGTATGAGAATGTAAATTTTATTTAAATCGCTGCAGCTATAGAGCAGCTTCTCAATGAGCACTTTTCCCATCAAACCGGTTCCTCCGGTTACGAAAATGTTTTTCCCCTTGTAAAAGGACTGCATTTCGGTCAATTCGGCCATGTCCCAACAGACAAATCTGAAACAGACAATTGCCAAATATCACGCGGATGACTCGATCTCCCCTTTTTCTTTTTCTCGTAGGAACACGCGTGGCTTCGCCTAACGTACTACATACTCCGGAGCAATCCTCGGAGCAAGCCCCAGTCAACGCGATAAGCCTTTGTAGCATGTACTTTCGTTTTCTACAATTTCCATATCATGCATATGTATTTGAACGGTTCGTTGTCCTTCTGCCGCGTCGTGAATCTGCGGCAAACGTGTTTCGTAGACGTCTTTCTTCTCTCAAAGTATGGAGGTCAAGTTCTCCTTCTTACTACATACTCCTCCTCTTTCACTCGCCTTGCACCGATATCCCCTTTCGAAGGACAACGCGAGAACCACGTGTAACCCCTCGGTAGTAACTATGTAACCGGTTTCGTTCATTCTTATTTACAATTATTCATACAAATATCAATTAAAATTGCGCGTCACTTTTCTTTTCGGACTTTCTCCGCTCTCTTTTTCTCTCACAAGTGTTTCACAATCCCACGCTCACCTGTACACCTATCCGTTCTGCGACAGTGTCCACGATCTTTGGACAAAGTCCAAGGAGATTTGTATAGGCCATGGATTACGCGAATCACGTTTCGAAAGTTAACTCTACTTTTTCTCTCAATATCGTTCGACTTGGCTCGGCCAGCTTCCCGATGTGACACGATGACCTTACCGGTACCTGTGCAATTACGCCTCGCGTACTTGACAGTGAAGGTTTGGTTAAAACGTCTCTCTGTACCTGAATGTTTAACTATTCCTCCAGACATTCTCAATATTTCGTATTACGGTAATACTCGACGTTGATTCAAGCAACAAACTCCGAAGGCGTGCAATTTTTCCCAATCTACAATTTCTTCGAGCGTGCAATTCGAATTGCGATCGGCGAAACAGTGCCCTAAATGTAGTTAGAACCGCTCGTTAGAAAGAATGCAATTAACCATCGATTTACATAACAGTTTCTTTCACAGTAGCCCTCTTTCCCCGACCCAATCGAATAACGCGTAGAATATAAATTACATTTCCAACGAGTTTCTGAACAAGCATTGTTATCTAGAATACTCGCACCTGAGCGTTACGCGTAACAAACTACTTCCGTCGTATACCGTCAACTATTCAACATCAAAGCTCGGCAGAAAAGTGATTTGGAAATGTTGAAATGTACGGAGCGAGGATTTATCAGAGCAAGGAAATCGTCGGGCTAAATAGGCGCTTTATCCGCCGTGGAAAGTATCTATTAATCTCGTACACGTAAGTGGTCGGATCTTACGTAACACTTTCGTACCGTATTACACCAGAGAGCATTAGACTAATCTTCGGTTTTTTATTGCAGTTCAATTTAACGCTCGTTAGAAATCAGATGCGTAACGCAACTTTAGCGGCGCAACTTTTCCACTCGAAATTCCTAATTACGTCAACGCGGAAACTGAAACCTTTTAGCTCCGACCAATCTTTCACCGTATAATTAACATTCGTTCGCCAATTGAAGGAAGCGCTACAATTATTCTTGCTACCTGTAACGCTGCTTTACTTTACAGATGAAAACTGAGACGTTCGAATTGTCCCACGTGAACCGGTGCGACGGAAGGAACTACTCCAGGAAGCGTTGACCAATTAAACGGATCGTTACTTCTTCCTTTACCGACGTTTCACTTTACTTGACACTTGTTTTCCCGCAACCAAGGATAAATATCAATTGGAAGTTTCTCCGATGCGCGATACGTAAAACGAGAAGAGACAGGAGACAGGGAACAGGAAGAATTGCGCGCCGGTACATACGAAGCAAAGCGCTTACCTAACAGTATTGGTCCTGTAGATGATAACTAAAGTCCTATAAATGTGGTTGTAACCGATGAAAGAGTTGTTGCGTGTGCAGCGCGGAATCTGTTGAACTAAGCAGAAATAGAGAGGAAGAGTCGCGAAACACACGTTCGAACCCACTGAGCATCTACGTGGTTCGTGCAGTGAATTCTAGCAGGAGTAACTGTCTCCCCACCTGCATCCACCTCGTCGAGTTACACTTCTTTCTTTCATTTTCCCTACTTCGAACCACTTTTCTTGCAGCATCTTCTTCCGATTCGATGCATTGGACAAAAACGAAATGCGCGGCTCGTTTTTATTTTCCTCTTATTTTACACGAAAGTTTCCATCAAGGTTGCAAAACACTCTCAAGTCGCAAATTTATTCGTTAATATCGGCTTCGATGCGAAACGGCTACAGTTTCCTTCTCGGTTTCCTTCTCGCACCTTTCCTTACTATTTTCCAATTTTCTACAAGTCCGTCATTTCTTATGGGTTATGGTTATGATACGCTTGTACGGCCAACGGGTAATAAAACTACGAAGAAGAAAGGTCCGATTCCTGGCTTTCAGTTACTATTAATATAAAACGAGACTTTGCACAAGCGGAAGATGTTCTTCCCTGTGTTAACGATATACAATGCAAGTTGCACCAAAATTGGCAGGCGATTCCAAATTTTTCGCCGGCAGTGTACATACATAGGTGTGTAAGTGGCCTGCAGAGGCTGGAAACGCGTGAAACGCGTTAATTAACTACCGTTCAATTAACTAACGAAGGACAAACGTTTAAAAAACGAACCGAGAAAACCGGGATAATTGCCGATATGTAAAGTTTTCCGTTCGCATAAAAGAAACGCACTTTTAATTGTCCTGAACCTCTGCGGTATAGTTTCTTCGCACGTTAACTCGACGATCTTATTACCGTACGTACAATTGGCATTTTCAAAAGGGCACAGGCACTTTCAATTCCACTACATTTCGTCACCGTTCTTTTCCTCTTTCTCGCTTAACCTTGCCATATTTTATATTAATAACCACATTTAGATTAATAGCCGATTACAGCGCAAAGAAAAAGATTAATTAAAATTTGCATTTCTAGCCATGTATTTAACTGAATTACGTACGTGTATGACGTTGCAATGCAAATTAATCGAAATTACGTTCAATCAACGTTACACAAATATTTGGACACTTGACAAAAGTTACTTTCAATATTCGCGGTATAATTTTCGTGTAATTCATATTACCTAATATTTTTGCCTGCGTCGTGTTCAACGCAATGTTTCCTTAGCGTCCGTACATTTTTCGGCGCAACTGTATGAGTGAAAGTTGCCTCGGTTACACGTACATATGTATTAATATTGTGTATAAACATGCCAAAACGAATAATTGTTTCTACAATTATGGAAATACAAAAGCTCCCTGAGAAATAAACATTTATCCGCGTTTTAATTTCTTTACCGAACAAACTCAAATTTCAGTAGATAAACGTAGTAATAGTAATGTGCAATTACATCGGTGTTTTGATCATATTAAAATCATTAACTCGGTAACTTGGAAAGTACCACTTTCACTATGAACACTGCTGCCTTTCGATATCATGTACTATACTCACAAGGTAATCAACGCATTTGAAATCAATATTATTGATTATTATTATTATTCTCCATGTGCCAGATAAACAGCAATTATCCCGTTTAATCGTTGACAAGAAAATAAATATTGAAAAACCCTTTCTGTAATTGCACCAAATCGTTTATTCCTTTTAGGAATAACGGCATAGAAATATCTTATTCAATACGGGACACCAGTCGCCTTATGAACCAACTCGGTCTTTTTTATTTTGAAAAAATTATACGAAATATTTTCATCGATATTACCTGAAGAGAATAAGTAAGTCAAATCGTATACAAGGAAATTTAAATTTCATTTCATTAATCAAACCAACGCCCTTTTTCTTTTCCTCGTGAAATTTTAGCATATTTCTTAAAGGAAATTGCGCCTATGCTTTGTATGTCAAAAATTTCCGTTACATAAAGCTGTTACGTAACGTCGATGCACATTACAGTTCGTCGACTTTTTGCACTGCATTTTTATAGCATACCTTTTCCTCTTTCTCTTTTTCTTCCTTTTTCCTTCTTCACCTCACATTTCATCCTCTTTGGTCATCGTTAAACATTTCCTATTACCTATATAATAGCTTTCGATCGAATTTCACAAGGACGTTAAAGGAAAGAATGAATATACGAATGAATTAATACACTTTTTATAAACTTTCCGAAAGGAAAATACAGTTTTAACGAAAAGAACGATTCGAATTTGGTACGCGTATCGCTATGGGAAAATGGTGTCTTGAACGTTCAAAAATGTTGTTTCGGATACGAGTAATATAAATAATCCCTTATTAGTGCAATAAATCGTGTTACGGAAAGAATAAAAATGTCGTCACACACTGCACCGATCGTTGAAGAATTGGCCAAGGATTATGCCAATTATTTAAAATTTGACATATCCAGCCAGGTATGAATTGCGTTGTACATAACCTCTACGTGCAGGTATCGAGTCCTGTCGAACAGTACTTTTTCGTATCTCGTAGCTAGAAAAACCTCTGTATGATAGAACACACGATACAAAAATATATTTCAGATGAAGACGTTCGATGACACGATCGAAGATGTAATGATGCGTTTAGAAGAATTTCAATCGATCATTGAAATGGTTAGAAGTCGTAATTTTAGTGTTGATTATGCATTTTCGATAAACACACAGACGCGTATATTGTGCTTTATGTTGAAAGGTTCAATCTGAGAGTAGCCAATGTACCGACCAATATGTTCCAAGATTACGAGATATGCAACCAGAAATTGCAAATCTTTGTAGACGAATAGATGCTTTAGAACATGTTATAGCAATGGTTAATGTCAATCTGACTACCTTGGAAGCTGCTGTTGATAATGCAGAAGCTGAATTAGGCATTTCTGACAGATTATTTGGAATGTTAAACCCGTTGTCTTTCTTTGTAAGTTACTGTTACTTTTATAATCTTTGCATAATTCATTCGAATTGTATTGCATTTCAGAAAAAAACTCAGGAACCTGTTATACCAAACAGACTACCGATGTATGAGCCTCCGACAATTTATAGAACCAATGATTACTTTAAAAGTGAATGAAAGGTATATTTCATTTCAAGGAGAAGTAATATATTTATTAATCATCTGTGTACATTAAATATGTATATTGTGTATTCGACAAAAAAGCTTAATACTTAAGAGATGTGTGATATTATGTAAATTTTCTGTTTTCTTACGTATGTAGTTAGGATTATTTTCAGAACTGAAGCAAAATGTTGTAAATGAATATATTTATTAATAAGTGAAATAAAATAATGATTTGAATTCAGTAGCTAGATAAAAAATGTGCAATAGTGAAATAGGTGTCGTTATCCAGGTTTTAGATATTTTATTTATTTCTTTTAGTGAGATCGAGCATCAACATGCCGCAAGTGTACAAGTCTTTAATTGTGCTTTCTTTTCACCTAACAAGCAACTTCCACCTATACCATCAAAATATTTCTAGATTTATTCGTATCGACGGATTTGTTTATTAAAACAAATATATAATATATAATTTTAAGATTTGTTAAAAAGAAATTAAAGATAATACTTTCAGTAGAAACAGCTACGTTACGTTTATCACGATCTTAAAAAGAATATTAAAAAAAGGAAAATACTACACCAATATCTTGTTGCTTGTACTTTTATTATCGTTTCTTGCGTTCTTATTGTCTTCGTTGTTATTCGTAAAAAGAGGCGTTTGTGTTGGACGTTGCAAATTTTCCTTCGGAATATTTGAATATTTTAGTTGGGAAGATGTTTGGTCAGAAGAAGGTGACGATCTGTTACTATTTAAAGAATGTTCGGATCGAAACATCGACAAACATTCCGTGATAGCAAATATGATTATTAGTACGTTAATTAATGTTTTTGTCAATTGACGTAGCATAATTTGCAGTACTTAACTTATTTGTGCATAACACATTCTAACGGACTGAAATTATCTGTTAACGAACGATATTTATAAATTTAAAACCACCGTTAGAATAGGCAAAAACTTGAAAGTACTAATGCTCGATTAAATTATTCAACAGACGTGTAAGAATCAAACAAACTGTTATTATATAATGTTATTTATGTAAAAGATATTTCAGCTACATACAAAGCTACAATTGAACTTACTGTCTTCAACCAATAAGCAATTATATTTTCATGTCAAGTATGAGATATAATCGATAGTTCGATGTAAATTACAATTTAAACAAATTCTCGTTAAATCGAACACGTAACGTGTATTTCTTTCTAATGAATTTACTATGTGGATTTAATTCCAAGCCAATGAAGAATATTTTTTGAATCGCAACTTTTTAAACGACATGTTTTGATTTGTGCCTTTTTCAATCCTCTCGAGCAATTTTGCGCCAAACAGTGACGCCAACGGACTTGACGACCATTCCCGCATGTTACACTGCACGAACCCCAATTGCTCCAGTCATCCCATAACCCGTCATTTGCTATATTTGCACAATTATTCACTTTATTAACAAACTAAATTAAAGAAATAGTGTAATAAACACAGTACACGCTTAAGTCAATATAAACCTCGATATATGATAAATATTTCTTCTTTACTTACAATTTTCAGCAGTTTTCTCTATTTTCCTTAAAGAGTCCTCTCGATCCCTTTTGCCTAATGGAGCGTTAATGTTACGCAATTGCCCATTTTTTATCGAATTTGCATAATGTGTTTCATCTGAATAACTAAGCAATTTGCGTTGGCCAATTTTGGCAATTTCGTAGCAAAACGAACATTGATCATATTTTTTATCCTGGTTACATGTTGGTGTGCATTGATCAGGCTTTATTCGATGTATGATATTAATACTATTGAAAATTATTATAATGTAATATATAATGAAATGAAAATAACAGAATATTTTAATATACCGTTCAGAAGTTAAATTAGTTATGAAAATATTTGGATCGAATATTAAAATATTTTCCTTCGATCTAAAGGCGTACAACTTTTCAAATTTGACTTCATCGTCGAACTTTTCTAGAAACACGCAATTGAAGTAGTGTGTTAATATTAGTGTAGATAATAATCGCATATCATATTAATCTCCTTCGATGTTCTATCGGCTTTGTAGACCTTGTATTATGTATGTATGTTGGTAGATTAGAAAAATAGGTTCATCAGATTAAATTGTAAACGGTTTATTTGACAGCTTCAACTATACATATGTACATGAACATATTCAAGTTGTTCATAATAAAATATTGTACTGCATTCTTCTGCTATCAGGCAGTGCTTGTTAATTTATCAAATATGTTGTAAACAATAATATAAAAGGCAAAAAATATGTAATAATCTAAATTGAAAGAAATATTTTGTCTGTAGCAAAAAACGTTTCAATGCATCGGTGATTTTGTGATCAAATTCACGTACGAGTGTATAAAAAGTAAATTTATTGATAAATTTTGATTTGCTTTCATTTAATAAATACAACAACCTAGGTGGCAGATATTTCATTTTCAATCTTTTTAATTATCATCTTGCAGCTAAATTGTAATTTAATAGAAACATAGAAAATTTGCTCTTATCTATTTACTTGATAGCTACAATCTATATAATAGTCTAAATAAATGCAGTCTACACATTAATTCATGTACACGATGACAAAATTGCTGTAATAAAACTCAAATATACAAAAGAATCAAGAAAAATTTAAATTACAAAACTTATAATAGATAGGAAATAATACAATTTTTATAATTACAATATTCGACCACAATTTGAATAAAAATAGTATTAATTTATAACTGCACAATCAATATTTAAGGTGTTTTATGGTCGTAAATGGATTTGTTCTCATTCTTGCCATCTTTTTCCAACTATTAAAAAAATTGTCGCAATTTAACAACTTTCTACCTACATATATCTTAACGCGTTGTTATACAGTTATCACGCTTTCTATAGAAAAATATATACTTAACATTCTTCGGTATATTAGAGGCATTTCTTCAAAATTTGAATTGCACTATTATGAAATTATGCTAAAAAGTATTCACAGTCGGAAGAATGCCTTGTGAGCACGACCATTTGGAATTTGCCCTTGAAGCCTTAATCTTCTAACTGCTTCCCTTAAATGTTTCGGTTGTAACGGTCCTGTTTCCTGATGAGCTTCCATAACGTCAAGAGCTACATTGAAAGTTAAATTTGTACGAAAATGTTTGCAATTGCACGAAAATGTTGGAAATTTGAACAGAAGTTTTAAGCATCACCTTCTTCTACTATTTCTCCAACAAATACTTTTGCAATACCAGACATGGCAATAACTACATTTTGAGACACAGAGCAGCCTGTTATAGTTTGCATGATCTAAAAGGGAAAATACAAATTATAAAAGATATTAGGAAAAGTTACACTAGAAATAGAGCAAGATGTTTCTAAAAGAAAAGTTAATTACTCTTTTTATTGCTGCTTTCGGGAAAGCAGCTCTTCTATACATTTCGTATCTATCTAACTGGTCTTCTGTAAAATTCGAGACTAATACTCTGTTGAGAAAGAAAGATCGGTACATTTACACGTGTGTACAAAATAATATGTAAACATGAAAGGAAAATGTTTTGAGCACATACTGCATTTTTTCTCTTTCTTCCTCTTCCAATTCCTTCTTGCTCTTCTCTTTACTTTCTCTTCTTTCCTTAACATTTGTTGGATTTGCATGAGGTAATAGTATATCATTTTCAAATATATCTTCCGCGTTTTGTTCTTCTTCCCTACTTTCAAGTTCACGTTTCACAGTTTCCAGTCTATCCTCTACTGCTGTAGACAACAAATTACACCCTGCTTCTTCCACATCAGATTGAGATTGCGAACTCATTGCATCAGATTCTACCTAACGTTAGATAAAATTATCAGTAAAATAACAGTTGGCGGAATATAAATATTCGACGTTATACTCAAATTCAATTTTTCTCCTTATTATATATTACATTCCTGATGCACCTTAACATGTATATTATCACCATCCATGGATTCCACATCTTTGGTTCGAAAATGATGAGAGGGGCTACATTTTTCTTCTTTCTCATCAATATCTACATGTTCGCTTTCATTTCCAGAATCTTCTTTTCCAAATATGTTGTCCATAGTGATGAAATATATTGAATTGCAAACAATGCAAGAAATATGTTCAGCGTTTCGAAACTACTTTAAAAACGATACATATTTTTACACTCGTTTGTTATGCATGAAACCTGTAGAAATGTAATTTTTGGTTAGGTTAGGTATGTATTTATAAGATATTATAAAAGATTTATTGTAAATATTTAATTAAAAAAATTAATTTGACGGACAAACCAGAATAAATATGAACAAATATGAACATAGTTGCAACGATCTTATACAATTATTTATTATTACGTTGCGAAAAGTAGCGTTATCTTGAAATGCTTAAACACTGGTGTTTTGATTCAAACGACCCCGCCATATTTTTCAATGCATAAAGGTTTGTCGAAAAAGACATTTCACTCTTATGAATCATGAAAGAAGAAAACCGAGAACATAAAGGATTTACAATTAAATTACGTTACATATACTTATACTTGTTAATTGAAGAGTACTATAACGCATAATTAGCATAATTCCGTTAACGTCGAATATTAACGTACATAAACGTTACAGTAATTATGTACAATTTAACGCAAATACAAAAAGAACGTTTTCTCTTCGACTTATTCAACGAACAAAATAAATAATTTGTATTATGTTGTCATCTGAAATGTAGCGTTTGTTCATCGATCTAGCGGATAGTGAAAAAGAAAAAAAATATGTACGTATAACGAAATGGATAAGTGACATGTAATACTATTTCTGTTATCCCGTTTTATACTCCAGGTACAGCGTGTAGAGAGAAACTGTAAAATATCTATGAAATAATCGAAATGGGCCATTGTGAGAGATTTTCAATGAAAACGATCAATGTATAATAGTTTATGATTACCGGATTTAATTGATTTAACACGGAATAAACGAATTTGTACGCATTAACGAGGAAGGAATAAAAGAAAATATCAGCTGTCTATGCATTCGCGGACGGTTTGGAAAAGCTCAGATACGGTATACGTGTGTACATATTGCATCGTTGAGTAGGAATATTTTGACGAGTTAAAGAAGGACGAGGGATCGCAACGTGGCGCCAGCTGGTGGCTGACTAAAATTTAGTCGACGGTGTCGCGACGCCGCGACGTATTTGTCAATATCTCATCGTTTTCACGATTTTCACGGTTCATACGTGTTGAGAGGAAATGAACGGGCGATCATCTCGGGGCAAGTGATTGGAGTGATCGGAGTAAAGAGAAATTCGGTACTCGGCGTGAATCGGTAGTAAGTGCGAGCCCGAGTGAAAAGAGCGAGAAGAGTTCTCGGCGCGGAAAAGGGACATCGAGAACTGGCCGGGACTCGGGACACGGTAGCTAGCTGGTGGCTCGGTAGGTCCGTAGCTCGCGAGTATATTGCCTATCCTATTGGAGGGCCGAGGGGAGCGGAATAGTGAGTGGAGTGCAATACAGTGAAATATCAAAGATCGAGAGAGTAACATTGGTTAAAGAGCTGACGCGATTCTAACACATCGAAGCATCGAATATACCTTGCCTACGAATGCAGTTTCAAGACGGAGTCGCGTATTAAGATGTGAGTACGGTGTGTCTTGGAATACACGGCGTTCGTTGCGAGCCGGATTTCACGGGAAAAATTATGGCGAAAGGAGAAGAAAGGGTTTCGTTGCCAGCGAAGATCGCGACGGCTCTTCATCGAGTATAAGACAGGTGGAAAAGACTGTCCCCGTAGAGACGGTACGGAAGACTGCGGATAATAAGCAGAAAACATATTCTAGTAAATACAATTCATTTCCATTGAACTCTGCACCATATAATCCCCTATGTGTACGTTCGCGCTCAACGCGCGCACGCCTCTTTCTACGCATACTGTCGCGCGCCGTATATACACCTTTGTGCCCGCACACCTACGAATATATCGTGACAGGAACGCGAGTGGAACCGGTCTTGTCCTGTCTTGTCTTTTCAAACGCTTCTCGACTCGTTCCTTGATCCCTTTCTTCCGAGAGTCGTCACTCTCGCCTCACCTTCGAATTTCGCTTCGCCAACTTTCATCTTTCGACCGCTTACTTACCCGCGCACATTGTCATATTGGGATGCGCTACTCTTTCCATACCTTCTTCGTTAACACTTCAAGGCGGTATCGTTGCAAACATGCCCTTCTAAAAACCGTACAAGTAACAGTATATCGAAATAGATTCTTCGCTAGAAATTCGAAAGAAAGAAAAGATACGATCAACTGGCTCGATCGTAGCGTATCTTTCGTTTACGATACCGTGCGCGTCGGAGACTCGAGCGACACCGTGGTCCGTTGTTCGGAAAGATGTAGGAAAGATTTGGGAAGGCATTAACGTAGAGGCCAGGCGTAAAGGGAGCGGCGTCTCTACCTTTGCTAGAGAGACGGTCGTTGGCCGAAGGAGAAACGACCCGGCGCGGCGAGTCGACGGGCGGAGAGCCTGTTTCGCTACGGGGAACGCGTATATATGTACATATGTACCTTGGCCGAGTCTGTTCAACCT